CGTCTGAGACTTGTTGCAGTTTCACCACCCTATTTTACTATACGGGTTTCACACTCCCGGCAGTATACTGAAAACATTAAACTACATTGGTATGTTCCAACTCATATTCGTTTTGGTTTCGGTTTTTTCGATCACCAGGGAAGATGTTCGCGCGCCCTAAAACTCCAATCAACAACAACAACAACAGGAGAGATGTTCTTGGACTTTTGTAGTATATAACAAGTCTTAGTTTTTACAACTGTACAGCCATCAATGCGTAAGAGAAATGCCGTGTTTGTTTAAGCACTTTTCTCGGATTTTGGAGCTCCAGTTTGGCGCCTGAAACTGTTTTACAAAATTACGGGACGAAGCAAGGCTAGAAGGCGAAGGACACAAAATAGCGCATCGCACTGACGTGTGCCTGCACTGGACGAACGGCGCTAAATTAAGATGAATGTTAAGTGGAACAGACCCCAGATGAATGACCGGTTAAATGCAGATTTGCTCGGAACACATTTTCACCACGCCCATTAGAGAATCTCGCTCCGGCTGGCCACGCCTGAGTCTGAGACTATTAATCTTTCAGAACGCGTATGCAAGTAAGTGAACTCATTTCACAGGTGAATCAGACTTGCATTCCATTCGCTAGTTTGAAACACGGTGAACACGGACTCGAACAATCACTCAAGCAAAATAAGGCAGAAATCGAACTTGGACTTAGACTGGGACTTGGAGTAAAATGAGCGCTGATAAACTTCGACTCAACATGACAGCACCACTTAAACAGGGCTTTGATTGCTATGCACTATAAATCCCGTTGCGAAGAGGCAGCTGTTATTATTGCACTCCTACTCTACCGCACGCTTTTGGATCCTGCCGCTACCCGCCAGCTGCTATGACTGGTAGGTAGAAAAAAGCGCACGATACGCATTAATTGCAGCACAACTATATTCCAAATATATTTTGGGGCTTGTTATTGTTTCCTGAGACCTGCTGTTGAAGCTGCCCTGGACACGCCAGGCCGCTGTTCCCACGCGTGAGTGGAACGTGTGTCTGGCGATGCCAAACAACGTGGAACTTCGACAGCCACAACAGACTTTCTTCGCACTGACTTCCGATTCCTTAGCACTGGCTCTCTTGCACCGCAACGCTCTAGGCCGCCGTCTAATGAATTCACTTGGAATCAGCACGACCAGAAATGCGATAATGAGTCAATTTAATGCCACTTTAATTTTACCATTCCATTACCCATGCGGTGATCAAAAGCATGAACAACATAACTGTCGAGTCGTTCATATTTGGTGTTCGTGTGCACAATTTCCAGATACAGTGAACCTCAATAAGCTTTCATTGTGGAGCAGTCTGTGCAAATTTCAATCACGAATCACGTTTTGTGCTACATAATGTAAGAAGCTGGACATGGCTGCTAGTGATCATCTACATAGACTAGTAATCGAATAACTTGATAACAGCGTCATTAACCGAGTACGTGAATATAAGCTGACTTAACCCCACGGATAAATGTGCAAGAACACCACGAGGAAGTGCCAAAACACGAACACATAACGACATTTGGTTCAGGGAACATCTCCAGCACCGCCACAGCCAGCTCTCGGGAAATCGAATTACTACAAATGAGTGCTGGGGTGGCAGTTTTGCACGGGTGGTTTAGCGGCACCTCAATGTCATACATACACCCCATGACACAATCAAGCAATGACGAATTGAGGGGCATCTTTACTTAACAGAGAAATGTCGTTGTATAGAGCAGCCTTTTTCACTCAAAAGTATGTCAATACTTATTGGTGAGCTCATTTCATCAAATTTGATGATAGCTTCAATATCTTTAAATGTGGAACATTTCCTTCGAATGGATGCAGATTTGCACTATCGTGTAGTCACGTTTTAAGTGCGTGCTACTATTCTACGATACGAGCTCCGGCCGACGTAAAGTGTTAGCGAAAATAGAATACATCAAAGCAAGTTGATTTATGGGAAAGCGCGACACGCTCACCGCGAGCGGTTCCTGACCGAGATTCATCACACCAGAGACGCAACTTTTTCCCTTCAGAACCCGGCTCATCGACTCGGCAAAAAAACTGCCGACATTTTGGCAGGATTGTGGGGAATAGCTCGCAAGCTTTCCCACGTGGTGTGTTGTACCGGGTGTCGACGGGCCAGGCTATGTTGCATACGTTGCTTAATTGCGTTTCGCGGTTTCACGGATCACATGTGTCGTACAAACTATACCAACACTTAATCTAGAACCCAAAATGCACCAATGGCTGTTGGATAAATCTATGTTCTACGAGAAAGAACGGTACAGGAAGAACGGAATGATCGCTGGACCAATATGAATATGCCAGATATTTTCTTTAACAGGAGGAGGTGAGGCAAAATGAACAAGGTTGCCTGGATACTGAACTGGTAAAGCAAACAAATCATCTTAAAACGCCGAGCATTTGATTTAATGACTTCATGATTTGCTTCGTGGCCGGGCAGCAGCGCTTTGAAAATGTGACAGCTGTGACGGGAAGAGTACAAAATGACAAGAGAAGTTTGGAACACACGTCCAGTTTTATTTTTATTGTGGCCCATATGCAGCTTCAAAGCCGACACAAGCTTTGACGATTTTTCAACATAGCTACAAGTCCAGCATTGCGTTGACACCTGTTTAACACTTGTGAAAATGTACTACCATACGTAAATTATCAGTGTACCAGCCTAGCAATGAACTGCGTTAAGCCGTAGCATTTACCAGAGGCCAACAACAGTGAGTACACATGCATGAGTGCACCAGTCAAGTATACACACGTACGTGTATACTAGTAAAACACTACTTCCGGAATCCACGGAGTGAAGCACACCCTTGAAGTGACAAAAACTTGTTATGGACCCCAGGTCTGTTGGAAGTGGGCCACGTGTCCTAAGCTGCCCCGTCAAGGCTTTTCCCACCGCAGATTTTCCCTTCCCTTCTAACACTTTCCCCTACTTGTAGGCGTAACATCATCACTGAATCATCGCGAATCATACGATGTTGTGCACCCTGGTTGCATTGAGTTAGATCGGAAAGGGTTAAATATGCGAAGTACCTGACCGTTTATTGCCTGTTTCAAGACAAACGAGTGCTGCCTTCTGCGGCTAGTTATATAACGAAGCACATGGTCTTGCTTAGGCCTCGGATAAAGAATAAGATCAGGGTCTTTTCAAACACAATTTGGTTACGGCAAACGTCAATCGTCCTATAAGTCAGTCTGGTTGAGATGCATTTGGGCTTTAGATGCCTCGTTTCAGCTCGTATACGAGGACAATAACTTAGTAAACAGTGATACTGTCCACGAGAGGTATGTCGAAGACCAGGTCAAACCCTATAGCACTGGAAAAAATTGGCACAAAGCAATACAAGACGCAACTGAAATGGGTATGTCAGGAAAAAAAATGAACAGATTATTTATCGTTCTACAGCCTAAAGTAATACTGAACGGGAAAAACAAAACAGCGCCTGCTGCATGTCTGACTTACCTCATTGCCTGCCAAAGGCCTATTGAATATTTGCTTTTGATATTTACGTATGGAGTCTTGATTATCATTGATTTTGGAGAGAGAAAAAAAGAGAGAGAGAAAGAGAGAGAGAGAGAGAGGGAGAGAGAGAGAAAGAAAGAGACAGAGAAAAAGAGCGAGAGAGAAAGAAAGAGAGAAAGAGATAGAGAGAAGGAGAGGGAGGGAGAGGGAGAATACCAGCGCGTGGATTTTGAAATACACTCAGATAGATTTTTAGACTGCTAGGATTTAGTTATGCACGGACGTTGAATGACCCATGATTGCATTATTTCTACAGTATTGTTACACTTGCTGTCATCTGGTCTTTAGGGGCACTTTTCAATTAGATGTTACGTACCAAAGAAGCCAAAGTACAGACAGAGCTCACATGAGCTCACAAGGAATACCAAAGTTAAAAGTCCGATCACATACTAGCATGTATTAAACCGTATATTACTTCAAACTGATCACTAGCTAATTGTATTTCAAAAAAACGCTTATCGGTATTCCTTGATTGCTTGCGGTGTCATTAACTCTCATACAGACTACATTTTGCGTTTTCTGCACGTCATATTCATGAAGCCATCCAAAACCTCACTGGCATGTGCAAATAAAAAGTAAACAAAGACATCGAGAATATCGAAAATGAGATGCGCTCAAAATCAAGACCGGGCAATTGGGTAGATTGGCAAGTTAACGCACTCCTCCGTGATGCCAACATCTACCGTCTTGCGTTTATATTAATCATGCTTGGTCATCATTGGATCACAAAACGATTATTGTTTTCATAGCATTCTAACAACTTTTAATCTCAGTAGTTCTTGGGTTAACAGATTTGAGGATATGATGTTTACGGCGAATATTTGCGTTCTCAAAATTCAAGGTTTAAACAAATTTGTCTGCAGGACCTTTGTGCCTTATAACTTTGGCTCAAATATAACACCAAGAATAAGTGAGCATTTCGTTGGTAGAGGCCCGCCCGGCGCTTCGTTCGCTCCTGAAAAAGGTATCACATTCTATAGCTTCCTTGAAAAGTGCATGGTCATCTTGGACGAGACACCTACGTTTTGTTACACCTACTACCTACGCTTGCATGTTGCACTGGTGCCTCAGAACTGCGTGCAGCTCGTATCAAACAGACATTGACACCAGTGACGTGGCGCACAATTGGTAACGCGTGAGCCCCTCATCAATATAATATGGGCTTCCAATACTTGTTCAATTCAACTAGTTGTGCGCTCTGCGCTAGCACATGCACATACCGGCCAATGCTGGCACAGAGTGCTGATACGGCAGGCTTCCGCGGGTCAAATCAAGGTTTGGCGGTGGGGGTGGGGCACGCTGAGAAAAGTTGCGACTCTGCGTCACACCTTACAGCAAATAAAACAGCTGGCGGACGAAGCACAGCCCCACTGGCGAGCGTCCACCCACCCCAGCACAGCCACAGGACCCACAAGGGCCGCGACCCGACCGTGACCGACCTTAGGTGCCATCCGACGGCGGTCGGCCGGGCACGCGGTCAGCCGGCCGTGGTGCCGAGCGGCGCAGCCCACCCACCCGGCGGCCGCGAGCGAACTGACGGCGTGCTGGTCGGCCGACGGGAGACGGAGGGAGAGGAGGGAGGCGCGCAGCCGCCGCTGGTCGACGAGGCCTGCTCTGCCGAGCGGCGGGCGGCGGCGGAGGCATGCCGGGGTCAGGTCGAACAGCTCACCTCGGTCACCATAAGCGGGAGACAAGCTGCGCTGCCTTTGTTGGTTTGTGGAGGTGCAAATGGTTCCGCGACATTAGTGCTACACCAAATACTCCTACCGACAAGAGTGCTACATTACTTCTACTGCTCATACTCGTGCAAAACATCAGTATCACGCGACAGAACTTTGCTGCAAAAACGCATGCTCGTCATTACGTCTACCGCAAACACTTATGCAGTCATTGCTTGTACACGACACCACTTCTACTGCAAAGACTACGCGACATTAGTGCCACACGACATGATTCATGCTTCAAAAGTGTATGCTGTCATTACCTCTCCTGCTAAAACTTATAATCATTGCTTATATACGGCGTTGCCTCTGCTGCAAAGACATATACGCGATATAAGGGCTACAGCAAAACTTGTGGTCAATTATTTGCTGTAGAAGCATTGATTGGGTAAGGCAGTAGAAACGGACTTGCTCCTCGGAGAGAAACCAGAAGAGTGAAGACATAGGTGGGTTAATATTTCGGCAATGTGCGTTTACCGAAACAGTACCAGAAGTACTTTAACACTTTTGCTGCACAACACTAGTGCTATTGTTATGTGTCATGTGTTATTGTTACGTGTATGTAAGTGCGGCTGCACAGCACTAAGTGCGCAACTCTATCTGGTATTCGTTTCCATCAGGGCATTTTGCCGAAACATCAACGCGTCTGTATCTCCATTCTGTTTTTTTTCCAAGGAATAAAGCTATTGCATGTAAATTTATTTTATGTCTTATGTATGTAAATAATGTTCTCAGCAAACACATTTAACAACTTACGAAGTATTGACTGGTATATGTTTCTAGAGCGGGCCACGCGGATCGCTCTACCGTGCAGTCCAGGCCGTCGGCAGCGGCACGGTGTCCGCGCGGCCCGCTCCACCCACAGTCCAGACCGTCGACAACGGCACAGGCTCGCTCTACCCTGCAGCCCAGACTGCTGACAGCGGTGCAGACAGCAGCACGGGCTCCCTCTACCCTGCAGTCCAGACCGTCAGCAGGCGGCACGGTGTCGGCATGGCCAGCTCTATCCACAGTCCAGACCGTCGGCAGCGGCACGGGCTCGCTCTAGCCTGCAGTCCAGACTGTTGACAGCGGTGCAGACAGCAGCATGGGCTCGCTCTACCCTGTGGTCCAGAACGCCGGCGGCGGGACGGCGTCCGCGTGGTCTGCTTTAACCACAGTCCAGATCGTCCGCAGTGGCACGGGCTCGCTCTAACCACAGTCCAGACCGTCGTCAGCGGCACGAGCTCGCTCTACCCTGCAGTCCAGACCGTCGGCAGCGGTGCGGTGTCGGCATGGCCCGCTCTACCCACAGTCCAGACCGTCGGCAGCGGCACGGGCTCGCTCTAGCCTGCAGTCCAGACTGTTGACAGCGGTGCAGACAGCAGCACGGGCTCGCTCTAACCACAGTCCAGACCGTCGGCAGCGGCACGGGCTCGCTCTACCCTGCAGTCCAGACCGTCGGCAGCGGTGCGGTGCCCGCGCGGCTCGCGCCGCTCCCATCGTGCGTCAAACGTCGGACCGTCGTTATTTCTTACCTGCCGACGTCTGCAATCAAGCGTGGGAAACGCGCCCATCCGAGCCATCTTCGCTCATCTTACCCCGCAAATATATGACACTCAGGTGCGCTGCCCCAGCGCCAAGGGCCATATTCCGCGCGGTCCACAGAGAAAACGACCCTTGCTGCAGCGCGCGGCTGGAAGCGGACCAATATTTGGTTCCGGGCGGGCAGAGCCGCACATGCGGCGGCGTTTTTGGCAGTGAGGAGCTGGGCTCCGTGGAAGCTCGGGCGCTCTGTGGGGGCATCGACAACACCACAGCAAATGACCTGCATACAGCTGGTCAGGCGTAGCTCCACGCGTGGGGCTTTACAGAAATTCAGTCGTGTCTTAATGGCTGGTCGGACGGGCTATCCAGATGGCTGTGATCTATACTTGGACAGATCACTCTTGCGGGCACCCCGTTGTATGCGTATCACTTTTATGGGATGTAACACCGACTTCTTCTGGCATGAACCGGGCTTAATTAACTACCATGAGCCCGAAACAAAAACGGCGAATTCCAGCAAGCCGAAGTACTAATCGAACACGCCTCAACATCACTTAAGACGCAAATCCTATTCGGTACCAGAGGTCAGTTTCTGACGTCATGGCGACTTGATTTCGGACGACCATAACTTTGGATTACACCATTGTAAGCTCACGGCATATGCCACCAGCACCCATAAATAAGGGGCAGTTTTACGCAACAATTTCACTCGGCTTACACCAAATCGTACTCGGTGTAATCAGCGTGTTTTTGGTTAACTACGAGACTTCGACCGCTCGACGAATGCTCGATATTGGGTTCTAAAAACCAGGTTCTCCTGCAGCTCGAGGTACAAGTATTGTCGCGGTTCTTCCTTCCACCTGAAGTATCCTATCCACGAAAGGCCAGGCCTTGCTTTCCCAGTGGCACTAGCAGCGAGACCAGCCTCGCCATCACAGTTCGGTTGCAGCTAATCCTGTTGCACCTTCGTCGTTAACCGGACGGCACCTCTCCTGCCATCATGACCCGCAGTAAACAGATGAAGACCTCCGTTTTTAAAGTCGTGCAGCTATACAGGACATTCAAAGTGGTCGTTAATCTTCACATGGCGCGGCGCCTTACATTGTATTTATGTTGCCTTTGAGGTTTTCATAGGTTGTTGATCTCCAGCATTCGGCTGTACCAGCAGACTGGAAACGGGAGCATGTGGGGACGTCCTCTGCCCACTCCAGTGTGGGACATGACACCTCATCAAAACAGCTATTTGTTACACGTCTGAGCGACAGGTCTGTAATGCTGGGCGTAGAGGAACGAGCGGACTCTCCTATTTTTCTTTGCATGCTGTATGTAGTTTATCCTTCTTTCGTGCTTTTGTATCCACATTTGCTTTAATTTGCAAACATAATGCATATTCAACAAGCTGATGGGCATTACACAAAATTGCAGGCCTGCTTTGCGCACATTTACTTCATGCAGATTTCATAAGCACTCCGCCCTTCACTGTCGACGCTGAGCACTCGCGACACCGCACTGTCGACACTGCACTCGCGACACTGCACTGTCGACACTGAGCACTCGCGACACCGCACTCCCGACACTGAGCACTCTTGACAGTACTCGCAGCACTGCACTGCCGACACTGGGTACTATCGACACTGCACCCGCGACACTGGGCACTTTCGACACTTCACTGTCGACGCTGAGCGCTCACGACACCGCACTCCGACACTGAGCACTCTTGACAGTAATCGCAGCGCTGCAATCCCGACACTGGGCACTCGCGACACTGCACTCACTCCCGGTGCTGGGCACTCGCTACGCTGTTCAGATATCTGATCAGATGACTGATCTAGCTGCCTAGCCGAACCTTTTAGCGGTTTGGTGGTCATGCCAGTTTTGAACGCTGCTGCAACGTATCGCCGTAATGAGGTTCCACACCGTTGCTATGGACGGAATGGTGCCAACAAATGTAAACAACCGTCACGTCACGTCACAACAGCCGTCACGTCACAACAGCTGTCACGTCACGAGTCCTACAAATAAAACGGCTACAACTTTGTGGCATGATAAAACTGCTACGGACAAAATTTCCATTGCGCACGACAAAAAAAAAACTCCTACTGCGAAAACCTTTACAAACCAAACATCCTTGAGACATAACATCATTGGACAACATTCGCTCATTTGTAAGGTTCTATAAAGTATTATCAAGAGCATCACACACCCTTAGAAGTTGTGTCGCGTGCAAATGTTGGCCGCAAACGTCTGCCTGTAAAGGTCATGCTGAATTGTTTACCTTAGAAGTTTTGTCAGGTAAGGCGACGTGTATAACTTTTGTGCTGGGAACATCTGTGGTGTAATGGTTTGACCTGCGGAGGTTGCGTCACATTGAATATTTGACGGCGAAAGTTTTATCCACACAAGCAGGCATTTGTAAGATCCCGAAGCTGATTCATGAATTGAAACTATAACATTCCGATCTGAGATGTTCGGGGATCATAGATCCCTATTGACATTTTGCCTAAGACCGTTCTAGGATCCTGGGTATCTAACAAACAAAAGAAATCGATGGGTCTTGCCAAGTTTTCAATCTTTAGTTTTTCCAACAGATTTTATAGGGTCTTGTACCTTTTTTGTAAAAAAAGAAAACAATGCGAGCCTCTTGAACGAATGAATTTCTTGGATTAGAGCTCACGCTAAGCATTGCTTGCTGTGTGAGCCCTGACCCGTACCATCCGACAGCGCAATTCCAAGGCAACGGCAGAATATGCTATTAGGTGTCTTGTTTGTCATTGATAAATTAATGCTCAATGACTTAACGTGTTGGCTGCCGCCTCTAAATTTTGTTTTATCCTTATTTTATTGCACAAGGGAAGCTTAAAGTACAATGTCATCGTCACCTGGGCCTACTGTGACTCCTGCAGTTGCTGGAGCGCCATAAAATACCGCGCTACGACGTGCGTTGAGTTGTCTTAGAAATAAATACAATGACATGGCAATGGCAGGTCAGTGTTGTAAAAAAAGAAATACTGTCAACGGATGTAATTTTCTCAGACTTTCCTCCTCTGAGTTTTATAAAGCTCGGGGCAAAAAATTCTCCTCCACCAAAATCCTCCGCTGTCGGGAGCGATTCTCCTCCATCGCCACTTATAAACAAAATGTGCGGCGAGAAGCGTAATTTAAATGCGCAGTTATTGTACAAAATGGGCCGATAAAAAACTTCACATCGTTGCGGTTTTTTGTAACA